GGGATAGTTGTCATTTTCGCAGTCGCTGTAAACGAAGATAAGTGTTGAGTTATGCTTTGTGTTCTGTGTGGTTTAGTCCATAGATCACAATGTACATGACCCATTTCTTATAAATAGACTGACATTTTTAAAGTCATGATCAACTATTTACAACATAGACCTTCAAGGGAAACACTACCCTAGTAGGGTTATCAAGGAACATTCCGGAGCTATCTTCAGGCCATCCACTCATTTGCAACTATTTTTCATTATTTTGTTATTATCTGAGAGCATTAGTTTCGATTAGAATATGATCGTCTGAGTTGGTAGAATAGCGAAACCAATAGGAGTCTAAGATGCTGTAAGCATGGGAAAACAACCTCAATACTGTTCAAAATTTTTCTCAACTCCAACTATGGAGAGCTCGAGTCAAACAAAACGTTTTGCCTCAGAAACGTTGGTGAACTGAAATCATTGCCTCCACTATCAATGTTCCCTCCTCTTTTTGTGTTAGGCTCTCTTCCAGTGATGGTTCAATAGATATCATGTCGAACTTCAGGGTTTATATTCCAGTCGTTTAGAGAACGTCACGTCTACAATTATCAGTTCACAAGAATACTAAACGGTCAAGGCTTATAGCAGAAGGATATAGTATGAGTTTCCGGGCAAAATATAAGCTATTGGGAAAGATTAGAGGAAGATAGGTACTTAACTCAGTACAGTAGTTAAATAAATTCAATAAGTTTTCGGGCTTTAAAGACTTAACATAAAACTTTTCAGGTACATGAAAAGCTTTCTGAAAATCATGCTTCCAAATTTTAACTGGTACGCAGTTTTTTGAGTCCTAAATTTCTGAGATGTAAGCTTATCTGTCAGCCAAATGCATCAAAATACACGTAGTCAGATATTTGTATACTACGAACAAGAGACAGTGTGTTGCATTGATCTTAAAGCTTATCAAGATCTACCTGAAATTTACTGAGTGAAGGTTTAACTGTTGAGAACAACCTATTATTACGAACTTTTAAACCTTTCAGTCTTAAAATCTTTTGTGTCTCGAAAGCATTAGATGCTAGTAAATACTGTCTGTTTATCAAAATGAGCACAAAAAGCTTGGTAAACAAAACATGTTTCGTAACTCTGACTTAGTTTAGAGTTTGACAACGACGTGTAGCGTGGCGTCGAGTCGTGGTTGACTATGAACACCGCTACCAAGAAACACGTGCCAGATAAATCAGAAGGCGAAAATCGAACGTAACCAGATTTATTTCGTTGGCGATCTCGTGGTATTGAACGAATACCGAGATCGTGCCAAGGAATGGTACAGGTGGAAGCAGAAGACAGGAGTACGTACGAACAGTACCAAAAACCGCGGAACAATGATGGAAGGTAATGGAAGCACAAAATGGCTATACTTAGCACAGTTAAACAAAAGCACATTAAAACTAACACTGGTACAGTTGGTTATAATAATAATTGTTTCTATTAAACCAGTCGTGTTCTCGTGATAAATGGTGAGTCACTACAGATGTAACCGTAATATTGAAAAGTGTGATTTTTAGTTCTGAGCACGGCGATTGATTTGAGACAGATATGAGGATCACGATAAAGAATATTTAGTGAATTATTAATTTTACTTGAAGGAAAACACTTTTCCAAAGTCTACGTTATAGAATTTCGATGTACATCAGTCAGTTTATGCGAAGTTTCTTGAGGAATCTGAAGATAGTTCATGACTAACCGCATTTATGATCATATTTGTATAATAATTTAATCGGCCACTAACGTTTGGCAGCTACCTCAAACTCCACTGTTTGTTGGCAGATATAGCAACATTTCACAGTCCCTAACATCCCTCTGGGAAGATTATCATCGACAAGATATCGTGCGTTTTCCACGCACACATCTATATTCTAAATCAGATTTGCTTATTTGAGACAAATTCCACATAGATGGGAAGTTTCTACGAATCAATATTTCTTTTTAACTAGGGTATAGCCTTATAACTTTATTTTTATTAAATATGTCGTAAACTCTCCACCTTTACTTTTTAGATTTCAGTGTAGGATAACTACAATTTTCAAATCCCAGGAAGACATGTAATTGGGAGCAATATGTAAGGAGTTTTTGATGCTGTGGTAGACAAATACGTATTGAATTAGTTGAGTCATTGAATATCGAACAGATCATCGATCCTCGTCAAGGTCAAGAGCAACCAATGCGCATCAAGTAATCGTACGACATGGACTGGCCCATGCGGCAGTGGTCTTACCTTCACTTGTATCTAATTTAACTAGTATATTTCTTTAATAACGTCCTCTGTGTTGTACAGTCTTCGAAGCATCTATAGTACCTTGATACGTCAATGGGGGAATCCACGTAAGGTTCTGACCACGAGGTGTGACTTCGGTGTTAGCTGGTTCATCACACCATTCCCGTCTAACTCGAGTAGGCCTCCGACCATTCGACATAGATCATCTATGTTAGCGATCTAGACTAACTATTGCCCCAGGTTTATTAACAGAAGCATCAGCGTAAGGACTCAAAGTTCCAGTAGGCGATTTCGTATACAACGTTTACAGACCAACATTTAACCCGGTGATCTCTAATATTACAGTTAAGCCACTCAGTCCCAATGTTGCTGCGAAAGAAGCTCCATTTTAGTCACAGCCTTCTCAGAAAGTATGCTGTTTGTCTTTAAAAATGATTCACATATTGTGGAAAATAATACATAATATCTGCAGGTTCAAATTTTTGTAGTCATCAGAAATCTAAAGTAATTTTACACTGTATAAAGCCACAAAAACTGATCAATACGCTCCAATAAATAAACGGTACTGCTGACCGTACTGAAGGTGCTTATCTCAGGATGCCAGTATGTGCAGCTACGCTATCTTCTCCTTAGAGTCCAACATAACGACAAAAAGATCAAAAGTACATTCCAAGAAGAACTAAGGGAATAATTGGTCAACCCAAGAGATTAGAAAAAATTGATAGACCTTTCCAAATAATAGTTTTACTACTCTTCAGCTATCCTTCGTTTGCTTAGTTTTACCAAGCAACCTGATTGGCATGTTAAGTAGAAAAAGCCACAGCTATTTCTAAACGAATGTGGACTTGGCCTAAGCCCATCAATTTTTAGGGAGGATGAATAGACTAAATGCAGTCTAATAACGAGATAAAGCAACCAGCCCCGATGATTTAACCCTAGTGATGTTTAAGGTTAATGGTCCAGTTTTCGCTGTTCACTTGACCGAGGTATTAGCCAGATTGTATGAACCGGATGTAATTCCATCTGACTTGTCTCTATTGCTAACCGTTTCAGAATATAGGAAAGGATAGCAACCTTCCTGTGATAACCACAGAGAGATCATTCTGGCTAATGTGGTGTCTAAAATACCACCCTCAATAATCATCCAATCCATAACATAAGCTCCTGAAGAGTGAACTTGCAGACCCAGGTTCTTCTCAGACCTGGACGTGAGTAAGTAAGCTAAACTTATGCAGTTCTTCAACTTCCGAGGCATAAATGTACCTATCAACTCTCAACTATAGCTATGTTTCTCAACCTTAATATAGCATTCGACTCCATAGATTTACAGCTTTTATGGCAATGTCCGTGATTGTAAGGGTTACCAAATAAGTACATTGACCTTGTACAGGCTTTCCACTCGAAAATCACTAGTCGAGCTAGAGCTTATGGCGAAATCTCATAGGAACCAGTCTTCATCAAAGCTGTATGCTCTCTTCATTTCTCCTTTATTTTATAATAGACATTATTTTAGAGATTATGCTCACATCGTCTGACTTCTCATGAACTGATCAACCAAGAGGTTCGGTTGTTGACGTAGAAAATGCATATAAGCAGTTTTCTGATTACTTTGATCGATAGTGCAAGGATTTCTTGAATATGTTTCTTTATCTCCAATAGAAATTTTGCTTTAAGACCGGGCTTAATCAAGCCTGAACTCAGTATAGGGAGCGAGGTAGCTGAGTGTATTTATGACCTCACTTATATTTAAAGTTCCATCAGCCCTGCAAAGTTAGTGTCAAACAAAACCCCGACACCGGTTCATAAAGGTCGGTTACCTTTTCGCGCCAATAGGTAATAATTGAATTAGGTTTGGCTAGGAATGATTTGTACTCTAGTATCAAAACCAAGGAGAACACAGTGACGGCTGGAATTATCGTATTTGCAAATCAAATCAACCGCGAAATCATCTACATAGGTATTATTACTATATACAAACGTCTCACTTTCGTCAACCTACGAGATATCTGTTTTATCAACTCAATGATGGGTTTACTGCGCAGCGATTCACTCTTCCCTAATTTACAGGCTCAAAACACAACCTTTAAAAATAGAGGATATTCGTAGGTTACTGGTATTGGATCATTGGTTTCTTCGATGTATTGCTCGTATATTTAGCAACTTAGTAATTCTGAGGTTAGATGCAGAGTATGGGGAACTAGTTGACAAGGTAGTGAATATTTATCAACTGTGATGGTTGGGACTTGTTATACTAGTGCCAATCCACCGACTAACACAACGGGCGATACTGTCTAGTGTAGGAGTAGGATAGGATAAAGCTAGGGACGGGAAAACTGGAAAATAGCATCAATCCGTAGAGTTGCCGACTGCTAGACTGAGGCATGTAGTAGGTGTATACTACCTGGATGGTGTCCAAGCGATTATGTCGATCAGTGGTTGAGGCCTTTCAATGACATGACTAAGAATCGTTCGCAATGGAGCAGAATTGTTCACTCTTTATCTTCTCTAAGATCCAAAGTTTTCAAATTCTCCAAAACTTTCCATTATTATGTCACCAATTTATATTTTCTTCTCTAACTATATTTTGGATGTCGAATCTTTTCTGTTAGCACTAATATGTTACTACCTCTGCTACATTGGAATTTACTCCAACAATTTCGTCTCATTGTGCTAACGAGGTATATCAACTTCAATTAATAGTATCATCAGTCCAAAAAGAAGTTACAAAATATTTTCAGTGAAAACACAAATGGTACGCAGGACAAAATTTAAGAATAGTAAGTGAAATTAAACTTTACATGTAGCAGTTATCAGAGATCTTTCAGGTAAAGTTAAACTGTGATTTCCATATTAACAAAAATAAAATTACTAATGTCACCATAGAGATCGACTTCTTTACACTCTTGTTGACAAGTGAATTTAACTCATAATTATACTCAAACTACTTAAATGAACAACAAATCTTTTTATGAAGCTGTTTGGCCAAAAGCTTTGTTAAAATATTTTGATTAAGTTTTTGTCTATACTCTAATGAATGCTGTAATGTATTAGTAAATTAAATAACGATTACAGTGGTTTTGAAATAATGGATTTCTAAGTGTTTATTTAATGTTGTCATTTAAATTCCATCAATTTAATCAAGTTTTCTAATTAAACAACTCTACCTTATAGTCAGCTATTATGTATCAAGATGTATGCTGAAGTAGAAGTTATCATTACCAAGGTTCGACTTGATGATTTCGAATAAATTCATAATTGGGTAGACTGTTATAAATAAATTATAATAAGTAGAAAAATTAAGTTTCCTGACGTTTTGTGACTCAGTGTAAGTCACTTCTTCAGTGAATAAATAAATTACGAAATTAGGTGGTTTCTTTGTGTACCTAAGATGTTCTTTCACTCCAGTGAAGATTTAGCGAAAGGTCAGGAAATTTAATTTTTCTATTCATTTGGATATTACAGATATATTAATTTATTTTATTTATGTTGAAGTAGGTTTTTAGAATCATAAACTTGTCTATTTAAGTAAAAATGTAAATACAAAGTTTTTATTTCACTTAAACAACACTGATACAATAAGAACAATAAAAATGAAATATTTGTTCACTTGAAGCATAGTTTCTTTATAGAAAACATTAATAAACTATTTAAACGTAGTTTGTTGTTTTAGTTATTTTTGTTGACGACATATTAAACATGTTAATTGTACTTTAAGTATTCTGAGTTTAAATCAGAATATAATGTTTGGTAGAAAATTATATAAAAAAAAACAAAAAAAGAGAAAGAATCTGTTCATTAAATTATGTTAAATGAAAGTATATAGCACACTTAAAGTTCATTCCTAATTGAAGTTCACACATCTTTATGTTCATACTGACAACGATTGTTTATAGTTATACAATCATCTAGTTCTGTGAGTTCAATATCACCAATATAAGTTAAATATAGTGCCAAGTTATTTTTTAAAAAAACTAATGGTAAATATATTTTAAATGTTTTATCAGTCCATTTAAGTATTTCAGTTCAATTAAAATCTGAAAATTCCGAACAGTTTCTTTTTCTTAAAAAACAAAATAAATACGTGAAATCAGTCATTAAAAAAATTAATATAACAGAATTTTAACGGTTATTTCTTTAGAGTTTGGATAGTGAAAATAAGTGTGTTTGTTAAGCTACTATTTAATGATGGAGAAAAATCGATTAGCCATGTTACAAGTCAAATGAACTATACTATAAAAAGAAAACTAGAATAGAGTATACTCATTTAATATATAGTAATAAAAGTGTTGAATATTAAAACTTTCAATGTAGCTCAATTAATTTGATGAAGCTTCTTATCTTTGTTTTAGTTTAATTTTCATCAAATATGATAATTTCAAATTAGGAAGTAGACCAATGTTTTGAATTATTTATTAGGATTTCTAATGATCACCTATACAAGTTGAAGTCATTTGATAGTAGGGCGAAGACTACAGTATTGGAAGTTTCAATCATTGATTTAGACATGTATGGGTCTATCGGGAGGTTGATTATGAATACAGTGGTCTTGAGTGCTGTTAGAGGTATGAGGGCGGTTATCACTTCCTGGTTGCTCACACCGTGGAAGGGTTCTTCTGCAGGTACCTGAAAAGGGAATTGGATTAAAGATGGCCTAAGTGACCTGAGAGCGTGACCGCAGTGCCCAAGAGACAACTGCTTGAGGTCAGTCACACACGACCTTTTTATGAGTAATTTTCATGTTAGTTCAGTATTTGTTGAGACCTTACCGCCGGAGACGGATATCCGTGGGATAAGGCGAGGTGTGCATTTTTAGGGTCGACCTTTTCTAACCACACCCCTCCTTGTGGGATAGCAGCATCGCTGTCATGCTGGTTGTCTGAAGGAAGCACCTTACTGCCGCCACACCTCTGTACAGTCAGCAGTACGACTTCGCCTTCGGACCTTAGGTTTGTTGATTTTAGTCTTACCGCTCTTCAACCGACCTGTCTGACATGGTAGGACCTTGAGGAACGGTTGTTCCAGCCAGTATAGCTCGGTTGCTTCATCACGATAGGCAAGCCCGACCACCACGTCAAGGTAGCAACAACGGTCTGGTCTATACTTGTATATACTTTGATTTAAGACAGAACAAGAAGTACCTAATACTCTGAAATTGTAAAATATATTAACACAGACTTCTATCATTCTACGTCATGACTGGAAATCCGTTTTTTTCAATTTCTCTTAATTATTTATTTTTACATGAGTGAATTCCGTGATTTTCCCAATTAATCAATTCTATCAACTAATATTCTGTTAATCAGTTTAAGCTATACATCAAAGATCTAGATGAATAAATCAAATTTCGGATAGTCTATTTCTATTATTTCAGAAATGTTTATTTATAGTTTGGTTAATTATTATTCCGTTAACAAGATTATGTTATACTTTACCTAGAAGATAACTATTATATATTGTTCAAAACAAAATGTTGCAATTCAAATATGTCACGTTTACTACTCACCTTGTTACACAATCACGTAGATACTTAAAGACTGTTTTCATCATATATTACATGTCAGGTGTTATGTCTCTGAAAATCGGTTAACATTAATTATTTTAGAATATTGAAATTTCATTACTGGACATATTATTACCCGTTTTGTGACAGAATGGAGGATAGTATTGAAGAACAGTTGAGGTTTGTTCACAAAGTTCCTTTTTAAGTAACTTAAAGTAGTATAGTTCTGATTCTATCAATGTGTAATTTAATAAATCAATCATTATTCAAATATTTGTCATGTTTCCTGGGTATATGATTTAACTGAGGCTTTCATTATCGTTTGAAGAAACTAGAATGTTTTGTGGTTAATTATTTATAGATAGAAGAATTTTGTTTTTAATGTATAATTAGACATATCGACTTTGCTAGCTGCTACTTCAAGTCTTAGTTACAGCTTGTTAGGTCCTTGATCTACCTGCTCTCTAGTCTGCGTTTATTATACAGATAAAGAATCGCATTGGTCTAATTTACGGTCTTGACGAGATGGTTACTTAGTACAGCCCTAAGACTTGTAACATATGAGTTCCTTGTGCCTGGACGGCCTTGAGGGTATATATATATATATATATATATATATATATATATATATATATATATATATATATATTCACGTGTTCAACTATCAGGTCACTGAAAAGTTCATTTTCAGCTACGTTTTGCATAATAATAATTCACATTTTTTATATCTAATTAACATTATTAGATAAACATATGCATAAATCGTTGTCTTCACAGAAGTTCTGAAAGTTGTAGGATTCTTTTTTGCCTAAACGTAAACATTAGTGTTATACCGGAGTAGCGAATAGTAATGACAAAACCATCCATTTTCGCTTCAGCTCACCAGATATTCCCTTCAATAAATGTTTGGGGACACTGTTATAAACGACATCACTATTTCGTGGACTTCCTGTGTATCTAACTGATGAGCAATTTATACAGTTACAAGCAGCCATGAAACTATATAATAAGTTCAAGTGTATATGTATGGTGGATTGTGGAATTATCCGGAATTCCTTATTTAAGCTAGTTTATTATATAAATGTTTGGAAAATCTTAGTTTTTGTAGGGATTTAAGAAGTGATTGATGATGTTCTGAAAAAAAGATTACCTTGAAATTTGGTAAGAAAACACTTTTCTGGTAGTTTATAAGATATAAGTTGGCTCTTTTTGAAGAACTAAGTTACAATGACTATTCACCAAATAATAATGTTATACTATATATTCAAATAGGTCATAAAGAAAGGGAATAAAACACATTTATTTCAATATTGTGCCCAATTCCAAATACTTTCAGATATAATCTCTTTCATTGAATTTTCGTTAGTAAATTAAGAATCTTTTCTGTGAATTGTGTGAAAACTTATCAATACTCAATCCTTTTTATGTTTGATATAAACTGTACATAATTAGTTTACTATCAAGTTACAAGTTTATCAAATATTATTTCTTGATTTAATTTGAAGAATGAGAACATACTTCATGTAATAGTTTATGAGAGGTGCTTTAAAAAATACATGGTTAAACGTATACTATGTACTTGTGAGGACGGCCCACGAGTGAATTCAAGGAAGCTCTAAGAAGCTCGGAAACGGCCGAAGATATTCAATCCATTCATCTTTTGGAAGAATATTACAGAATCTTTACATGTAGCTTCTCTACTGAACAAATACTAAAACCCCCTGTATGCGTATTGGATGACTATAATCATGATTTTGTTTTTACTAAAAAAACTATGTAAACCTGAGAGTTTTGTATCATATTTGACACTATTTGAAATAGCATTCCTTTCATTTGTCCTCTGTCTTCTCGTTTGCGACTTGGAGGGTTCTACAGTTCGAGTGCTCTATTTGTACACGGTATATTAAGAATCTAACCTCTAGATATAACAGTACTGTGATAATATATATATATAATCATCATAATAAGAAATTATTAGGCTTTGTTGGTTAGAAAAAAGACCAGTCTGTTACAGAAAACAATAATAACATATAAATATAGACCAATCGTTCCACCTCAGTGGGTTTAACTTTTGGTAGGTTAGTAGTAGCACACTTTATAAGGGTGCTGTAATAAAATGAAACGAATGACCATTATTTATTTTTATATCTCTGTTAGCCACTACCTAAAATATAACGAATAAAGCTTAAATGATTTATAGTATTTTTAATTTTTAGAAATCAAAGTCTTAATACACGGGTAGTTTGAGGAAAGGTTTAGCTAGAATAATCATAACCA